ATTTTAAAATCAACACATTCATCACTCCGTTCAGAATCTAAAATTTCTTTGATTATAGATATTATTGTAAGTTATTAAAATTAAACAAGTTCAGAAAGCTCRCCCGGCGTGTGAGCTATATTCCCTGTTTTCACGGTACAAATTAAACAATAAACTATAATTTCATATGAGACAATTTAAAAATAATTATTTAAGTATGTAAGTGCTGGCTTACAAAATCTTAAGAATTTGAGATTATGTATAATTACAACACAGAATAGATTAAAGTGCCTACAATAATTATAATTGAATCGTTCCATATATTATATCATTATCAATTGTTTTCAAACCTCCCTGATAATAAGTTTTTAATCTCGTCGAAATTTTTGTTACGGTACTTTAAATTAACAGATCTTTTTATACAATGGCATATWTACGGGGGAGATATGGGTATAGACCCAACCTTGGTCTATTATTTTTTACTTATAATATTATGATGTCGATGGAATTGAACTAGCCCCTCCCCTTAGAGAAATTAAATGTTCGCTAACGTATGTTACCCCCCCCCTTGACAAAATCCTAAATATGCCATTGCTTTTTTATAAAGTTTCATCAAATACATTTTTCCAGATTCAGAATACAGTGACGAGTATAAGCGAGATAATAACAGGGACAGGAGAGAATCTGTTGCAGGATTGATACCATTTCCTAGAGTTGGGAGGTCTGGTATCAACTCTGCTTTACAAATGGACAATTTGTGTATGTATTTTTATTCCGTTTGACATGACTTATTATATTATTATTTGTTGTTGGATTAACAACAATTTTTGTTACTTATCATTTAGACGACACCCAACGAGAACTGAGAAGTCATAAACGAGAAGGACTCATACCATTTCCAAGGATTGGCAGAAGGAGTGACTCGAAGAACACAGCTCTCTGGTTCGGTCCTAGATTAGGACGATCGGTAGTGATACCAGAAAATTATGATATGTCGTATTTGGATTCAGGTACCTACTGTATAATCTATAATAGTTATTGGGATTAACCGTGGGCTGRACATATTTCCAGTATACCAGTTATTATTGTTGTTATTTAAAAAATATAGAAATTAAATATATTTTCGATATTTTAGAATACTAGTATGGCCGTAATTCGGTAATTATCGTTGTTCGTTATTGTTTATTTTTTTGTCTCCGTGTACACGATAAGTGTTCGAAATAGTCCTTCGATTTTTGACTTCAGCAAGAATTKATATTCTTTAGTGTTGTTTTAATTATTGTTGGTAAATAATTTTTCACTAGAACAAAAAACTTAAAAATTTTAAACTACCYATGTTTCTCATATAAGTGGTTTATAATTTAATAAAAATAATAATAATAAACATAGTTCTTTTTTATAAACGTTTCAACTTCAAATTTGGATGATATTACATATTTATACCATGAATAACGATTTTAGTTATTTTTTGTCATTTAAAAATATTATTTTTGTGTTCTTGAAATTTTTTAAATGTATTTTCATAGCAGATATTAATACATAAAATTTTCAAATTTAATTTTTTGGCAAAAATGAATTTAATACCTACTGTAGTACAAATGTTTAATAGTAAAATAAAGTACTTTAATCAAAATAATATTAGAAAACATACCTACTTAATTAGTGTTATTATTGGCTGATGACCGTCTTCGATAATAATTGTTTTTATGTATAATATGATTTTATATTTCACTCTGGAATGAGGACGTGACTCTGGAAACTTTGGCTGGAGGTACTTTTGATGGGATTTTTTACTTAGAGCCTTCTTGGAAACTGGGTAACTCTTGAATTTGGTGATGTGGTCCTTGAAGCAAAGTACACACTTGGCTGAACTATTCCAGACCATGGTGCATTTGTTAGTATGATGTTCCGCACCCCATTTTACGCAGCGGGTGACGTGGTTCAATAGTTTTGCGTATAGTCAAAAGATTGGCACCTATGGCATTGTGAAAAGCTACAGCTCTTTTTGTGGGGTTTTCTGATAACCTCTTTGGTATATTAAGCAACGACTTAATATTGTTAATGTTCTCATTATTTTTATTCGGGTAGATCTCCACAAAAAATTAGTAKGGATGTTTATTTTTGTCTTTGGCGTTGTAAACGTGTTTTGCTTGATGTGGATGTCCTATAGTTCATCCAGAGTAGAGAATATGTCGGTGATTAAGATAGAAGGTTATATATTGCTGTTGACGACCCTGTAAGGTAAAAATGTGTGAAAACTAACGTCACTTTCATTTAAGTTAAGTACAATTTTGTTGAAGATATTACGACCTTGCAAGTAAAACCGCTCGGGCTGATATTTGTCGAAATGGAGTTGAAGGCAGAGTAATAACTGACAATTTTCTTTAAAATACTGAACGGTGAGAGGTGATTTTGTGAGGTTGTYTTTAGAGCTGTTTGAAGGTGAGGAAATGTTGTTATTTCTACAAGGGCCATTATTGACGAGAACGTCGAGAACAGCAAACTTGTTTATACAAAATATTTTAATTCTGATAATCCTGCCTAGGTGATGAGGACGAATTMGAAATATGACGTTTTAAGGTGCTGCGTGTAGGTACTCTCAGCGAATCAGTACTAATTTTCTGRGATTTATTTATCGACGACATCGTTGGTTGAAGATGATAGATACTATAGAACTATAGACGAATAAACATTGCGTGCACTGCAGCAATAACGGAGCGAGATAATTCGATGTATGTGTGTATTTTCATGTTGACGTTACAGCTGAACTGAAGCCAAACAATTATATTAGTATTACCTATTGTCGATACACTTTATGAAATCTAAATTTAAAATCCTCCAGTGCTTTAAAATCATATAAATGCATATTAAATATTTTTCATTAGTTTGTCCTATTATTTAATTGTTCACATTGTGATCTAATAATAGTTTTGCTATTTGATACATCAATTATATCTTGTTTGTATCTTATTTAT